CTTTAATAAATGTTTAATGTGTTTAATGATTTGTTTATACCTTAAGCAAAGAATTATTGATAAATATTTCCTAGAATAGTTGAAGGTCTTTTTAAATTTGGGGTAAATTATGGTTGGAATTGGTGATATATTATTGGAAGGCCGGATGAGGTATTTGAATTTGATGATTGCCCGACGGATGGGCTGTGTGGATTGAGTTAAATATTGAATGAAATTTTTTTGATGATTTAAACAGGTGGATAGTCCGCATTTTTAGGGGGAAAAAATGCTGCCGCAGAAGATTTTCAGTAAAACCTAGGCTACACATAATTTAAAAGTTTTATTTTTAGAATTAATTCCTAATAACTTGATATTAATAAATAAAAGTGCTCTGATTATTTTTATTATTAATCATGATTATTCCATTTAATTATTCAATTAATTTATTTATTTCATCATTGTTGTTTATTGTTAATTTGTTTTTATTAATTTAGTTTATTTGCATTTGAGAATGGATGTCCTAATTGTGCATTGCATTTACGAATGGTTTAATTGATTAATATGCTTGCATTTAAAATTTGCAATAACTTGATTAAATTGTGGTTGTGATAATTGCTTGTGCTTTGTTTGTGTGGAATTTGGGGAATGAAGTGGGTCACCATGGGACTTGTGAGACCGGTACCGTTATAATGGATCCAATATGTTACCAGTTAGCCGGGTAAATGGGAGATCGACGCCGCCCGTGTGCACCTACGCGTTACCATTACGCGTTAACGCACGGGTTGGGCTTCTCGTGTTGCGCACGCGGACAGTTGCTATGATTTGATCGCCAGGCCCGCAGGGTGGCCTCCCTGTTGTGAGCGCTTGATTGATCTAGATTGGATGGAGACGCTACCAGGTTTGCCTCCTGTTGGTAAATGAAAAAGAAAAGAGAGGATAGAAAAACAAATGAAGAGGGCTGGTCAAGTGAAGGATTAGACCGGGTCGGGCCAGTATGGGGGATCGGCTCCCCTGGGTGCAACATGGTGGGAGGAGGGGAATGAGCCCAGTGGTGGGGAGGTACGGCCTCATCGAGGGTTCGGTGACTCCACTGACTAATTTCCACGTGATGTGATTATATGAAGATGTTAATGATTTGAGTGCTGGTGATGTGGCCATTTGTGTGACTTGGCTTGCGTGGAGCATATTTAACTATCGAATGACTAGATTGGATATGTTTACATATTTGTGTGACTGCGTGCTGTTATGGGAATAAATAATCACTGCTTAGAAAACTCACTATGTCTTGTTTAAAATTTTTCAGAAAGTAAAGTTTGTCCTTTAATCCGGTTAAGGCTATGTTCCTTCGTCGCAGAGCTAGAAAGAAAATTTTCCTAGACAAATGAATATTTTGGCTATGTATTCTAAGATGTAATAGAAAATCTATATACATTCTATTTAGTTTAGTGACTGCCGCAGTTGGTAAGAATTTTGTATACATTAGTCGTGTATTAACATAGACAATATAATTAAATGTGAACGCCATATAAAAAATGTGGTGTATTGGAAAATTGGGCTTCAGAACTTAGTGGAAGTTGAAGATGGATAATAATTTGGACCGAGGTAAATAATAAAATCTGAAGATATATTTTTCATATAAATATGGGCTAAATGTTTAAAATTTATAATTGAGATAGCATATTGAGATAGCAAATTTTAGTGTTTCAGGCTTACTACGGGCCTCGGGGGCCTTAAGCTTACCTGGGCCCTAGTGCCGGTCCGGCCCATGAAAATGAGTCGTGACAAAAATAAAGGTAATTTAATTTTAATTTGTTATATTATACTAAGTACATATGAAAATATGTTAAGAATATAATATGTTTTTGATACTTGCACGAGATGTCCAGATTCGTGTTTATTTTAACAGTCCATGATAAACTTAATTAATCCCGCTCAACCTCAGAGGCAAAAGGGCTAGCCTCGGAGGAGTTTGCTTGCGTAGGATCGAACCCATGATCTAAGCCATGGTGATTAACCTCGCAATTGCTCTTTACCACTAAGCTACCCCATTCTAGATTAAGAATATAATATGTTTAATTATTATTTTTAATAAATCTTTAATTGATTGGTTTCTCATATTTTAGTAATATAGACAATGTATATTATATTATATACGGAAAAAATTAAGTTAATTAAATTTAGATCGTGATAAGAAAATTTAAGTTGATTGATAAGTAATTTTATTTTCATTAAAATTTGGTTATCAAATTATAATAATATTTTATTATTATAAATATGTTATTTCCTTAATTGTTGAATTTTTTTGTTTTATTATTTCATAAAATGTTATTTTTTTCTATTTTTTTCTATTTTATGAATACTCTTAGATTTTTAGTAATATAAATTATTGATAATATTATAATTTATTATAAAAATTAATAAAATTACACACGCGCGCACACACACACACACACATATATATATATATATATAATTTTCATTTACTTGCAATGTGTGAAAAATCCACGAATACAAACAACGTGCAATACACGTTCGAGAAAACTGATCTATATTATATAAATATGGGAATAAAGGAGAACAATGAGATTTTAATGATACCCTTAGTGACATTTAAGATATGTTAAAGTAGCATTGGTAATGCCCAAGTCAAAAATTTTCAATTAAAAATAGATATAAATTTTCTTTGCTTTGATTAAAAATAGATATAATTTTAAGTTTTAACTTTTTTGAATTTATTTTATTTAAATAAAGAACACGGCATTCAAAAATTTTTTAAGCTTTTAAATTTTCAAATTTATATTTTAAACTAGTTGAAAGTTTGCGCTTTGCTCAAGTTGATTGCTTTATTGTTGTATATTATATTTTACAAATTGTATTTAATATATTATTAAAATATCTATTTTTCCACAAGTTGCATTATTAAATTAACATATTATAGATATTGTAATAATTTAAATAATTATAAAATTTAATTCCTATTTAGGTAATTCTACGTAGATAATTTAAAAAATTTAAATATCATATATTAGCATAGATAATTCTATAAAATTGCTATGATTCAAATAATTCAATATAGATAATATGTCGATTAATATTATTTATAATTAATTATTACATAACATAGAAAATATAGGAAAATTAAAAAATTAAATATTAATAGTAAAATTCAATAAAAAGTTATTTTAGTTTTAATTTAATATATATGAACTTGAATAGATTTAAAATAGAAAAGTTTTTATACAAACAAAAGGGGGTTTCTTAACTATTTTATTTTTATTTTAAAAAATTTGAATTCCAAATTTTAAGGTTTAAATGCCTAATTTTTAGGTTTTAATTATATATATATATATATATATAACCACAATATTCAATTAAAAAAATAAATTTTCAGCAATTTCGTAAACAAACTATATAAATCTATATTTTTTTAACTTATTAATCATTATAGTCACTACCACCAATGATTATTTACCACCGACCACGACGTAGAACGGTTACGTGAATGAGAAAAACTATTATATTCCGTCAGAAGTTTTGATCAATAACGTATGATCGAACGAATTAAGATGGAGAAATTGATTCTCAAACAAGTTTATTATTATAAATAATGAATAAAGATAATGAGTGGTTCATAACAGAAAATAACCTATTTATAGGTTTAGGCTTAAATATTAAAAACCTAAAAATAACACAAGAAAACGTAATTAGACAAAACCCTAGTAAGGGTGGCGGCACGGGCGTGCTAGAACTCTCAGAGGCTAGCACGGGGGCATGCTTGTCATGACACGGGTGTGTCGGAACTCAAATCGTAACTAGACTCGATGGCATGGTTGTGCTTGTCATGGCACGGGCTTACTAGGACTTCCAGAGGCTAGCACGGGGCGGGCTTTGGCATGACACGGGCGTGTTAGGGCTTCCAGAGGCTAGCACAGTCAGGCTATCTGTGGCACGAGCGTGCCTAAACTTCTTGGTCTTGGGTGTGCCTCGCATCCTAGACTTCCAGAGTCTGGCACGGGCGTGCTAGAGGTGGCATGGCCGTGCGTCTTCTTCCTTGGTTTGCATCAATCCAAGTCTTCCAAATATTGAAGTGCAAGTTGCTCCGCATCAATCACCCCCACTTCAAAAGAACTCGACCTCGAGTGATCATCATCGGGATAGAATGGAAATAAGTCAGCAACATTGAAAGTCTTGGAAATCTTCATGTCTTCTGGCAGGTCAAGTACATAGGCATTATCATTAATCTTCTAAAGTATCTGAAATGGCCCAATCTTTTTGGCTTCAAGCTTCTTCTATCCTCCGCCACGCTCCTTGCGAAGATACACCATGACCCAATCTCCCACTGTAAAAGATTTGTGTCGCCGGTGTTTATCAACTGCAGCTTTATATTTTTCATTGGCAGTAGTGATGAATTGCTGCACTCGCTTGAATACTTGCACGTGCTCAGAAGCCAAGTGATTAGCTGCGATGCTCTTTTCGACACCTACAGGAAGGGAAAGAAGATCAAGAGTATATGCTGGCACCTTTCGGTAGACAACTACAAATGGGGACATCTTGGTGGAGCTATGGACGGCACTATTGTAAGCAAATTCTGCTTGGGCAAGAGCGAGATCCCACATCTTCTTCTTCTTATTACAAATACACCTCAGAAGATTTCCAAGAGTCCGGTTCACTACCTCAGTTTTCCCATCATTTGGGGATGAGCGGTACTGCTGTAATGAAGTTGGGTGTTGAACCTCTTCCATAAAGTTGTCCAAAAGTGAGCTAGAAACTTTGTGTCTCGATCAGATGAAGTGAGCTAGAAACTTTGTGTCTCGATCAGATGTGATTGTTTTGGGAATGCCGTACAAGCGAACAATCTCTTGGAAAAATAACTTCGCTATGTGTGAGGCATCATTAGTTTGCTTGCAAGGAATAAAGTGTGCCATCTTGGAGAACCTGTCTAGAACAACAAAGACAGAGTCAGCTCCACGTTGAGTTCGAGGTAAACCCAACACAAAATCCATGGATAAGTCCTCCCAAGGTTATTCCGGTACAGTCAACGGAGTGTCAAGACCAGTGTTTTGTGAATGGCCTTTTTGTGTTTGGCAAATGGAACACCTTTGTACTAGCTTTCCTGCTTCCTTTTTTAGCTGTGGCCAAAAGAATCGAGACTCCAAACCTGTAATAGTTTTATCTCGCCCCAAATGTCTACTCAACCCTCCACCATGGACTTCTCTGATTAGTTTTTCTTGAAGGGAAGACCGAGGGATGGATAGCCTATTTTCTTTGAATAAGTACCCATCATGAATCAAGAAACTGTCGGTAGGCTGTTTAGCATCAATCTTTGCCCAGGTGGCAGCAAAATCTTCATCCGAGGTGTATAAATCTTTAAAAAAGTCAAACCCAACAATTTCTTGCTTGATTGTGATCAATAGGGCTGCTCTCCTGCTCAAGGCATCTGCTACTATGTTGCATGTACCTGACTTGTGTTTGATGACATAATGGAAAGCACCACAGCCAAAATGAAGTTTGCCCAATGTCTGCATGCATCTTACTACTTTTTCTGAGTTAATAATGAGTTAAAAGCCGGATGATCATGTAAATATAACTCACCGTCCAACAAAATTTCCCAAGTTTTAAGCTCGTAAAACTGCATAACAATTCTCTTGCTCATAAGTAACACATTTCCGCCGAGCTTCAAATTCAATTATTCACTAAAAAAATGCAATAGTTTCTAGATTGAGACAAGACACCTTCCAATTCCAAACCCACCAAGGCATCAATATTCTACTTCAAACAATTTTATCATAATCAGTTTAAAGCAAAGAATAGTGCGAAGTAAAGCTTACTTTGATTTCTTTGAACCTATTATTTGCACTTCAGTCCATACAAACTGGTCAACTCTCTCCTTCTTCAAACAAATCCTGTGAGGACTTATGATGCTACTAAATTCCTGATAAGACCGCCTATAGGAAGTGGTATAAGACCATGAAAAGCTGCGAAACTTCAGTGATGTTTCTGGGAATAGGCCAATTTTGAATGGCCTCAATCTTTTTTATCATTCAACAGAATTCCTTCCGAACCTAAACTGTTGGCTCAAATCAATTTTATCTTGATATTCTTTTGATGATTATTACAAAAAACAAAAAATTTAATATTCTCGTATTGCTAATATTATGTTTATGCAGAGAAAAATTCATTGTTGAAAAATTATTGAAGACAATGAAGCTTCCTACATCCCAATTTTCATTTGAAGACCATGAAGATTAATGAGAGATATTTCTATGCTTTAATTTATATATAGCTTAGGAAAATTATTGGAGGATATAGCAGTAAATATATTATAAGCACAAATTAATTTTATCATCTCTCAAAAATCTGTCTTTGAAATGTTCTTTGAATAAATTTATTAAGAGATTATAAGCCAAAATCTTTACTCTTCACGTTTTTCCCATCTAAAATATCTTTTGGAGTAAAATATTCTTAGGTACTATATAAATGAAAGATTTCTGCAAAAAGTATTTATCTTGATCTAAAAACAGTTTTCTATTTAAACACGCCTGTCTGTTTCTTGATTACAGCTGGCATTCTCTATATAAATGTACATATTTCTAAAACTGAATCTTTTACATACTCCAACTGCATGTGTAAATATTAATAGTTCTCAACAGCCCTTTAATTACAGCCATGCACTTTCTCTTTAGTCTAAAAAATGTCAGAAACTCATTGCTTCATTTAAAAGCAATAATTCAACGTTAACGTCAAAAGAGAATATCATCTTTTCAATAAAAAATCATTCCTCTTGTAAAAAGTTGGTTTTTGCAAAAGAGTATGAGCTATTGTTTAAAGTTTAATTCTCTCTAAGCCTCTCTCTTTCAATCCCCCTATTCATGTGTTTCATCTCTTGCTTCAGAACAAATTTTTAAAGAAAAGAAAATTTATTAACAACATTTCTGAAAGAAACAGTTCCTAATAATCTAAATCTGTGTTCTTAAATTCGTTCTGTTCCTTCCTGTTATAGGTTTAGTTTATAGTTATTTTTAGTTATAGTTTATTATTTAGTAAATTTTATCACTTGATTGTTTAATTCATTTTTAAGTATAATTTTGTGCAAAGCCTTCCTTGAATCATAAACCTACTTTGATCTTGAAAGAATATTTGCAGGTTTTGGCACATAAAAGAGCTTAACAAATAAAAACTCTCAGTCTCAAAGCACTGTCCCAGCCTGTGCCTAAAAGCACTCCCGTGCCTAAAAAACTAAGAATCAATGGAGAGTCATAGCAAGCACTCGGCTAGCCTATGCCAAATATGGCAAGCCCGGCCCAAAGGAAACTTAAGGTGTGGCTTGCCTAAGCCATCCGCCCATACAAAATCTATCTTGGGTAAGGACAAAGACAACACTCCAACCCTGCTAATACCGCACGGCCCAATACCCGTGCTAATACGCACCGCCCGTGCCAGTCAAGACTCCTCTGGAGCGTTGTTGCATAGCAACGTACCCTGCCCAATCCACCAGAGTTCCAGGACCTGAGCACGCCCATACAGTTGCATCATAGCACGCCCGTGTTCGAAGGCAAACTAGCGTCAACTAAAAACGTAAATCAATCCTTTTCTCATATAGCCCCGCATCGGAATGGTTCCTAAACGTACTAAAACAAGAATCAGACCTATTTTGAAGAGAAGGATTCCTAACGAAGAAATACAAGGTCTAAACACAGTTCTATTGATCTGCCTATAAAAGATTTGTATTTAATAAAGGATTCATTCCTAAACGGAGTCAGATTTTGATCTTCAGAGCTTCTATATAAAGAGGAGCTTCTTCATTATTATGGATATCTCGTTTTTGACGTAGTTTTCTGCATAGTTCTCTTTTTTCTCAAAGGTTTCAAGCATCAAATTGTGCCAAGATTCAAAACCATCGAATGCTTTTACCTAGTTTTTTATCTCTAACTCTTAACCTTGTTTTTCTTTCATTGTTTAATTAGCTGATTATGTAAAGATTGATTCAAGTATTACTAGTTTTATTATCTATGTCTAGCTATAACTCTTGTTAGAGATTGATTAACTTAATCAGATTCCAGATTATATATATCTTTTGTTCATTATTCGTGTTCATAGTTATTATGAGCTTAAAGCTATCCAGCAAATTTCCCCGATGATACTATCTTCTTATATCCAACTTTAGGGAAGATTTTTGATATGAAAAGATATATATAATTACTTAGAGAATTAATTAACTTGATGTAGAGCTATATGGTTGAACTCAGGTTGAGGTTTTCATAAGTAAGACCTTATCTGATGAATTTATAAGTTAAATTTAGGTGTTTTTATATAGTTTTTAGTAGAATTTTAGTAAGTTACTTCTTAATTAATTTAAATCACTTTAGTTAATTTTGTTGTTAAAAGCTTCCTTGTCTATAATCCCCTTATCTAAGAGAAATTGCAGGAAATGCGGCAGAAAAGAACTTAATGCAAAGGCACTCAGCTCTAGCACCCCCAGCCCTTGGAAGCCACCCCGTGCTAGAAGCCAAGTAAACCAAAGAAGACAGAAGAGCACGCGGTGTGTCAAAAACACCGCCGGTGCTACAATTGACCAGCGTGGTCAAGCATTGCACGCCCATGGCAAAACTCTATACAGACTTCCGAAGAAGACACGCCCTGCCTGTGCTCTTCAGCACGCCCGTGCCCAGTACTCACTTACCGGCTCCTAGCATTGCCCGTGCTTCACTAGCCAGACTCTCAGACTACAGCACGGCCCAACCGTGCACTTAAGCCACGGCCCGTCTGCCCAGGCCGGAACCAGCTTGTAATTAACACCAAATTCAAGCCTTTCTCACATGCCGATCTTCAGGGAAGTTCCAAAGACACACTAAACAAACCTGGACCTATCTTGAAAAAAAAATGAGTCCCTAATCAAAGAAGAAAGCAAGAGACCCTAAACATTTATGAACTCCTATAAAGGATTTGCTAAATAAGGATTCTATTTTGCCTAAAGTAGTCAGACTTGCTTCAGATCTCTAGTACTAAAGGCAGTACACTTCTCATTAGTAGGGTATCTGTTTTTTTGTTGCACACTTTACATATATTCTCTTCTTCCTCAAATGATTTCAAGGCTGTCAATAATAATTGACTAAGTATTCAAGAACCATCAACATATTGGATTACAGTTTTTATTTATCTAAACTCTTCGATCTCTGTTTCTTCTTTATTATCTGTATTTTAAATATAATGATGATTCAAGTATGATTCAGCTTAATTAATTACTATTCTAGCTAACTTTTATTACTAGAATTTTATGTTAAATTTCAATTTCATTCAGGCTTCATTTAATATTATATTTATTTTTCTTGTCTTTTGAATAACCTTATATGTTAAGGTTCAAGGCAAAAAAAGAATAATTCCCCTGATTAATTATTTCAAATACCCACATTGGGAAAAGTTATTATATAACAAGTAATTAATTTACTTGAGAATAATAACTGATTTGGAAGACTATATTTGTTGACTCAAGGGCTTCATAAGTTAATTAAAGTATTAAGGGAATTACATAGAAAGACAAACCATGAAAAACCGTAGATTATCTGATTCCATGTTAATTTTCACTATTAGATAGTATGATAAATGATAGAAAGCAACAAGTAGAATCGGAAGAGCTGTTCAGTAACCTCAGGTTTTTTCTCCCTACTTGACATTAAGACTTATAATAACTAATAGAAATAAAGCGGATTAGAATAAATGAAATCAAATTCCCTAGACTTAATCCCCTGATTTTCTTTTCACCAAATTTGTGTTTGATTCTTTTACTTTGAATTTTATTTACTTGACATGCGAATTCCTTTTAATCATCATCTAAAATAATAATAGTTTAAATAATTTGGTAATTGATAAACCAACCCTGTGGTATACATACTTTCACTCTATATACTTTGTTGCGATTTCGGTCCACTTGCGAAAAAAAAAAAACGCTTTCAAGTTCTTTGGCCCGTCTCGATTGCTATCAATATCAATACAATTACCCTGTTATTAATTAGACACTCTTTCGTTGTTATTTTAATTTCTTTTAAGTACTGTCCAGGTTTTTTATCAAATGAGATCAAGGAGTACTGAACCTCTTAATCTTTGATCCGGAATTGAACAATCGTTCTAAGGCTCAACGCTGCAAAAGAAAACCATCAAGAAGTAAAACGGAACAACAAGCAACATGGCCAACGTAAACGAAAAACGTAGTGGACCACCACTTCAACATCCGGTCGTGTAACCTTAAGGGATAGTATACAACACCTAATTGTGAATGACAACCTCAAGTATACAAACTTAGGGTAGAAGCTAATAATTTTGAGATTAAAACCCGCAATATCCAAATGCCTCTACCATCGATGCCATATGGAGACTAGTGAAAATCCTAATGCTCACTGCAACCAATTTCTGAAATTTTGACACTTTCAAACAAAATGTGTTTCGATAAATGCAATCAAGATTAAAGAACCTTGCCATTCACTCTTAGCGATTTAAGCTAATCATGGTTATCTAACGTGTCCCGTGAAGT